AGCAACTGTAATGTTTGCAGTAAATGCAATTGGAACAGAAAAGCTCTCTCCTGTATTTATTCATACAGTTCAAAATCCACGCCCTCTTAGAAATTTAAATAAAAATAGACTTCCTGTATGGTATTATTGGAATAAAACTGCATGGATGCAGGTCTCTACCTATAATAACTGGTTAGAACATGTTAATCAAATTATGAAGTGTCAAAACCACAAAATTCTTCTTTTTGTCGATTGTTGCACTACTCATATTCAGCAAGTAGTACTTGACAATATTCGTATTGAAAAGATACCAAAAAATACCACTTCTAGTCTCTAGCCATGTAATGCTGGCATTATTAACTCATTTAAGTGCCAATATAAACGTATTTTTATTGAGAATCAGCTTGTCGCATTTGACAAAATGAAAGCAATGGGTTCGTCTGAACTTAATAGTTTTAATATTCTTCATGCAATTAATGCTACATCTGATGCATAGAACAATGTTATTCAGAAAACAATTGCAAACTGTTGGATAAAGACAGGTATTCTTCCCCAATACCAAGTAGTTGAAATGAATCAGGCATGTCAACAGGTGCAAGTAAAGTTAGAAAGAGAGTGTGAGGAGCTTGGTGGTTTGATAACCAATTTGCCAGAAAAAATGAAATTAATGATCTTATGGATGCAAATGAATTTATAAACGTTGATGCTGAAATCATTTTCGAGATGCCATCTGATGCTAATATAATCTGTGCTGTTGAAAATAAGAATAAACCCTTTCAGGAAGAAATAATAGAACCAGTGCCCAAAATTGCTGATAATGATGCTCTAAAAGCTATCAATTTGATTGAAACATATCTTTTGCAACAATCGGATGAGTTCAATGCTACTGATAATGATAAAAATACCATCCATCAGTTAAGCAAAGAGATTTCAAGATTATCTGCTTTGCGAAAAAAACAAGTTAATATTACAAGTTTTTTTCACATTGAGAATTAAAAAACTTTTTTTTATATTGTTGTTTTTCTTTTTTTTTTTCTTTTTTTGCATTACCTTTTTTGCTTTAATTTTTTTTTTGCATCTTTTTTTTTTATGCTTTGAAATTTAGAAGTTTCGCATCTTATTAAGGATTAAAGTATATCAACAATTGCATTTGCATTTTCATAGTTTTAGAAGATCTAAAAATATTTTCT